CCTGATGCCACCTCACTCTGGCTCAGGTACTATGCTGCAGTGGAGGCCAAGAAGGAGAGGATGAGCAAGCATGCCCAGACCTTTGGGGCCAAGCAGCCCACGCACCAGGGGGGGCCTGCACAGGTGAGGGCTGGCAGCGGTCTGCCCCAGTCCCTGCGGGGAGGGGGTGGACTTGGGGTCTGCATCCTGCTCTACATAAGCCTACTTAACCATGACTCTCCCCCACCTCCACATAACCTCAGGACCGAGGGGTATACCTGTCCTTGCTGGCTTCCCTCCGGGCCCGGGCTCAGCTGCCTGTGGTCGTGTTCACCTTTTCCCGAGGCCGCTGTGACGAGCAGGCTTCAGGCCTCACCTCTCTCGATCTCACTACAAGCTCGGAAAAGAGCGAGATCCACCTCTTCCTGCAGCGCTGCCTTGCACGGCTCCGAGGCTCTGACCGACAGCTACCCCAGGTGTGTCCCTCTAGATACAGGTGGGGGTGTGGTGGTCCGAGACCTGCCCTGGCCGAGGGAGCCTCCTACACCTTCTCTGACCTGTTTCCCTCCCCTCCCCTCCCCTCCCCTCCACAGGTCCTGCACATGTCAGAGCTCCTTCGCCGGGGCCTGGGTGTGCACCACAGTGGCATCCTGCCCATCCTTAAGGAGATCGTGGAGATGCTGTTCAGCCGAGGGCTGGTCAAGGTGAGCAGGTGGGTGAGAAGGCCAAGACCTAGGCAGGACAGTGCAGTAGTTAAGAACCTGGGCCCTGGGTTTGAATTCCAGCTTCAAAACCCTACTGAGCTCTAGGTTTCTCACCTTAACCCTAAATGGGGATGTACAGGAGACCGCACAAGTGGTCCTGGGAGAGAAACCTCTACAGCGGGGAGCGTAGGGAAAGTCACTAATCAGACGCAAACCAGAGTGCTCTCAGGAGATGGCTGCACTCAGGAAACTCGCTAACTGCCCATGTGGCCAGAGATGTAGGCTGCTGCCAGTCTGCCAGTGGTTGGCATCCAAGCGCTGTTGCCTTTCTGCCTCGGCACTATTTAAGCAGATTTAGTATAGTGTACCTTTTGGCACTAAGGGCCATTCTTGGGTATTTATTACAGAGAAACTCGGCCTGGTCTGTGAGGGAACATATGTGTTGCTTTGTTCTCCTGTCCTGTTTATGATGACAGGGTTCAGATCTCAAGCCCATATCCTGGGGGACCAGGGTCGAAAGGCTGGCTGACAAACAGAATGCCCTTCACTGGGACAATGGTTAGGTAAATGTAGGGGATGTCCCCCCAGAGACGAATCACCTACCTCAGTCGCAAGCAATGACTGCTAAGATGACAAGAACACGAATGGACGTGGAAAATAGACAACAATCAGATGTATAGCCGTGTTTGTGTGAACTATTACACAAGCACAAACCAAAGTAGTTTGCAATAGCGTTCACACAAAAAAGATGCTGGTTAAACACAATCCCAGCTTGGGGTGGAGGTGGGCTGTGGACGCTAAAGAACTAGGTAACCAGCTAAGCAGAGTGAGGGAGAATGCCTGCACCGTGGGGTGAGCTCTGCCAGAGCTGGGTATAGACAGGACCTTTCTGCTGACCCAGTCTCCCCTCTGTCCCAGGTCCTGTTTGCCACCGAGACCTTTGCCATGGGAGTAAACATGCCAGCGAGGACCGTGGTGTTTGACTCCATGCGCAAACACGATGGCTCTACCTTCCGGGACCTGCTGCCTGGGGAGTATGTACAGATGGCAGGCCGGGCGGGCCGGAGGGGCCTGGACCCCACGGGCACAGTCATCCTGCTCTGTAAGGGCCGAGTGCCTGAGATGGCAGATCTACACCGCATGATGATGGTGGGTAGACAGAGGAGGCCGGGCTGGGCGTAGCTGCGGCCCCAGATCCCTTAGCCCAACTCTCCTCTCCTCTCCTGATGTGTTCATTCTCCTGGGAGCAGTCAGAAGTGAGCAAGTCTAGCCTTAATCCCTGCACAGGGAGGCAGAGGCAGGCAGATATCTGTGTTTGAGGCCAGCTTGGTCTACAGAGCAAGTTCCAGGACAGTCGGGGCTACACAGAGTAACCCTGTCTCGAAAAACCTAAAACAAAAGAGCGAGCAAGTCCCAGGGGACTTCCACTTTCTTTTGCTTTCCCGCCACTGTGGTATGGCGCCCAGTGGGGGCCTTTGGGAGTCCATGTCCTTCGTTTTGTTCCTGAGGTGAGCAGGGGGTTGGTTTGAGGCCTCCTGGCTGCAGAGCTGGGACTAGAAGATGGCTAGAGCACGCAGGTCCCACTTGGTCTCACTGACTTTCTGACTCCAGGGGAAGCCGTCCCAGCTTCAGTCCCAGTTCCGCCTCACGTACACTATGATCCTCAACCTGCTGCGGGTGGACGCCCTCAGGGTGGAGGACATGATGAAGAGGAGCTTCTCAGAGTTCCCATCCCGCAAGGATAGCAAGGTGAGGAGGTTAGGGTGACCAGCACAGCAAGCAGGTCAGAGCTAGCCAGGAGAGGTGGGTGGGCCAGTTGGGTGGCGTTGGAGAACGGGCTGGGCTTTTAGACTGGTTACAGCCTTCCCTTCTACTCAGGCCCATGAGGAGGCTCTGGCTGAACTCACTAAGAGGCTGGGGGCCTTGGAGGAAGCTGATGTGACTGGCCAACTGGCTGACCTGCCTGAGTATTACAGCTGGGGGGAGGAGCTGACAGAGACCCGGAACATGATCCAGGTGAGGAAGTTGGGGGTGTTGGGGAGACGATAGGAGGGACAGTGGCTGACACTGCTTCTGGATTTAGCCCCAGAGCCCTGGCCTCACATCTTCCCATGCCCCCTTGTGCCTGTCTTGCTCTCCAGCGTCGCATCATGGAGTCTGTGAACGGGCTGAAATCTCTCTCAACTGGAAGGGTGGTAGTTGTGAAGAACGAGGAGCATCACAATGCATTGGGTGTGATCCTGCAGGTGAGAAGGGGGGTCCTCACCCCCACAGAGTTGGGGGCTCAGGCACGTCAGGACTCTGGTGTGCTCATTTTCACTCATCATCATTTTATGCCTGTCTCTGTGCCTGGTCCCCAAGAGGCTTCTCTAGTGGGCGTGGAGGGGGTCCCAGGTGGGTCCCAACCCCTGTCCAGGGTGGGCATACCATGTCCACATTTGTTGTGCCTGCCTCTTATAGGTCTCCTCAAACACCAGCAGAGTGTTTACAACGTTGATCTTGTGTGATAAGCCTGTTGTGTCCGAAAGCCCACGGGATAAGGGGCCAACCACTCCAGATGTGCCCTACCCAGAAGACCTTGTGGGCTTCAAGCTGTTCCTGCCTGAAGGTGAGTTCCTCGTGGTGGTGTGAGCAGGGTGCGTGGGCCATGGCGAAGTCTGACCTGACTCGCTTTCCAGGGCCCTGTGAGCACACTGTGGCCAAGCTTCAGCCAGGAGATGTGGCTGCCATCTCCACCAAAGTGCTCCGGGTGAATGGGGAGAAGATCTCTGAGGACTTCAGCAGGAGACAGCAACCAAAATTCAGGTCAGAGATTTGAGGAACCTTTTTCAGGGAGGGGCATGCACCAGTAGGTGTGTATGTACAAAGGGACCACGCAATGGGGAGCCGAGGGACGTCCTCAGCAAGAGGGGCTCCTGTGGCAAAGATGCCTCTTGGTCCAGATCACAAACCTGCTCCCCCTTCAGGAAGGACCCTCCCCTTGCAGCTGTGACCACTGCAGTTCAGGAGCTGCTGCGTCTGGCTCAGGCCCACCCATCGGGGCCCCCGACCCTTGACCCTGTCAACGACCTGCAGCTCAAGGATGTGTCAGTGGTGGAAGGTGGGCTTCGGGCCCGGAAGCTGGAGGAGTTGATCCGGGGGGCTCAGTGTGTGCACAGCCCACGGTTCCCTGCCCAGGTAGCAAGCAGAGGCAGCTTTTCCTCCCTGGTCCCTATGGTCTGGGTACTCCTCCCTCAGCCCTGTGCACCCCTGCAGAGGGCTAGGAGGCTAATGGTTTCTGCTGTGGCTTTCTTTAGTACCTGAAGCTGCGGGAGCGAAGGCAGATTCAGAAGGAAATGGAGAGGCTGAGCTTCCTACTGTCTGACCAGTCGCTGCTGCTGCTCCCCGAGTACCACCAGCGTGTAGAGGTGAAAGAGCAGGGCGGGGCATGAGGTGGGGGAAGCCTGGAGGGCAGTCAGGCTCTGCAGCCCTCGCCTCTCCTGCAGGTGCTCCGGACCCTAGGCTATGTGGATGAGGCGGGTACAGTGAAGCTGGCAGGCCGAGTGGCCTGTGCCATGAGCAGCCACGAGCTGCTCCTCACTGAGCTCATGTTTGACAATGCACTGAGCACCCTGCGACCGGAGGAGATTGCAGCTCTGCTCTCTGGCCTGGTCTGCCAGAGCCCCGGTGACCCTGGAGATCAGCTCCCAAGCACCCTCAAACAGGTAGGAGCCATCACCCCCCTCTTGGCTTGCGTAGTCCTGGTAGGTGCCTCCCAAGGTGTGCATAGCCTCTTCCAGATCAGGGGCCTTCCCGGTCCAGGAGCTGGAGGCCTTGACCTCTCCTTACTGTCTGCAGGGGGTGGAACGTGTCAAAGCTGTGGCTAAGCGGATTGGTGAGGTTCAGGTGGCCTGTGGCCTGAACCAGACAGTGGAAGAATTTGTGGGAGAGCTGAATTTTGGGCTGGTTGAAGTTGTGTATGAGTGGGCTCGGGGTATGGTAAGTACCTGGGTTTGGCAGGTAGCTGGCTGGGGAAGGTTGTCCAGGCCTGGCACATTTAGCCTTCACTCTGCTCTCCCCATAGCCCTTCTCCGAATTGGCCGGGCTCTCAGGGACCCCGGAAGGCTTAGTGGTCCGCTGCATCCAGCGCCTGGCTGAGATGTGTCGCTCGCTTCGAGGAGCAGCCCGTTTGGTAGGGGAGCCTGTGCTGGGCGCCAAGATGGAGACGGCAGCCACCTTGCTGCGGCGGGACATTGTCTTCGCAGCCAGCCTCTACACCCAGTAAAGGGCATGTTGGGTAAAAGTGAATAATAAAACAGCAAACCAGAATGCTTGGAGTATTGGGTAGGGATGGCTGTATTCAGACGCAGCAAGACACCTGCTTAGAAACCCGCTATATTATCTGCATAGAGTCCACACTGGTGTGTCCCCTGAGGCGTCAGTCCTTGGGGGAGGAAGTCTTTGAGAGTGATGGGAGGTCTTGAGTCATGGCTTCCACATACCATGTGGGCAGGAAGGCATAGGGTGCATCCCGATGGACAGATACAGTGACTGGGCCACCAGGTTCCCAGGAGAAGAGGTGAACAAGCCTGGGGAAAGATGGAGGTGTGGGGAGAAGCCAGAGACTGAGCCGAGATTCAGAGTTGGTACACAAACCTGAAGTCCTTACCTGGGGTCATCCTGGACAACTGTGCTCTGGGCAAAACTAAGGAAGGCGGCACAGAAGTTCATGCACACAGAGGGATTCCAGCCATCCCGGTCGTTCTGGAGGAGGCAGAAGAGGCAGAGGACAGTGAGGGTGGGAGGAGAGGAAGGCAGATGGCAAAGGGACACTGGACCTAAGGTGGCAGCTGGCAGCCGTGACACCCTGCCTTACCCTGACATTTTCAAACATCTCCATGGTAGGAAAGGTCTTTAAGGAACAGATGAAACCTTCTGGGTTCCGGAAGCCGGCGACAACATGTGGGACCCCTGGGAGGAACGACTGAGCCCACCATTTCAGGAGTTTATGTCTGACAGGAGAGGCAAAGGGTCAGCAGGACCCTCCACCCTCACCCCTGGGCTCCCTCTCCTTCCCAGGCTCTCCTGGCCACCCCTGGCCTGAACCTGTAGAAGCTCCTCCACTGGCCAGGGCTGTGCATCTCCTTGGAGGTCTTGAGCTCCACATAGCAGGCAGGGGGCTGTGTGGATGGGGCCTGAGGGTTCATGCAGTCTACCTCCCCGGAGAAGAGCAGAGGGTGGCTTCCCAGGCGGCTGCGTAGCACAGAGCAGAAGGCCACGTTGGTGTTAACCTCCCCAGAGGGGTCTGGGGAACCTCCAGGTTTGTCTGTGCAAGGAGAGAAGCAGCAGCAGCAGGGGAAGGGGCTCTCGACCTCTGAGGAAGGGGAGGGGGCCCGCACACCAGGGACAGCTCTCACCTGCACACATGTACTGCTCAAATTTGTAGCCCATGTACATGAGCTCCCGCAGGAGAGGCGGCCTGGCCAGCCTCTGAGCCCGAGCAGCCGGGGTCTCCACCTCACTTAGGTACAGTGTCCCTTGGAACCGTGAGGCTGCCAGCTGCCAGCCCTCCTGCCGCTCATACGGCGTGGTCAGCAATTTTGTCAGGTGTCCTCGCCATGTCACTGTGGCCCCTGCCAGCCAGCCCGGACCCCTGGTGGGGGGGAAGAGTTTGGGGCTAGTGGTCGGATCGAAGCCTTGGCTCAGGTGAGCCACAGCCCCTGCTAAAGCCCATCTGGCTCTCCTCACTTTAGGAGCTAAAAGCGGGTCCGCGGGTCTGCGGGTCAGCTTGTGCGCAGGGCTTCGCTCACCCCTCCAGCTGGTGTCGGTGTTCTAGGAGCCAGCGCAGCAAATGGTCCAGCCTCTCTTTGACTTCCTCATCCCGGGGCTGGTATCTATCAGGGTACCCATCTCTGAGGTCAAAGTCGGGGCCTGGACCGTTGATGGGGGGCGGGCTGTAGTAGCGCAGGGCTCGGGCATCTCCATGGTACTGGCGCTGGGCGTCCAGGGAGAAGCAGCCCAGTTCGGAAGGACGCCGGTAGAAGGGGAAGGGGCCAGAGTACAGAGCAGGCTCCGTGCGTAGTGAGGACATTGGACGCGGGAGCTTAGGCTCCGCCACCTCTGTCTTCTCCGTTTTTCTCTTGGTTCCTCTGGGCTCCATAAGCTCCTGAGAGGACAGGGTTTGCACTTTAGAGCGGATGAGGACAGAATGAGCCCAGCGCCGTGCAGCGCCTGCCCCTCCTCATTCAGGAGCCGAGCACCTCTTACCCGTCCACGGCCACCTAGACGCGGCGAGTTTAAGAAGTCTGGGCTTAGCCGGGCGGTGGTGGCGCCCGCCTTTAATTCCAGCACTCGGGAGGCAGGGGCATCTCTGTGAGTTCGAGGCCAGTCTGATCTACAGAGCGAGTTCCAGGACAACCAGGGCTGCACAGAGAAACCCTGTCTCGAAAAAAAACAAAAACAACAACAACAAAAAAGTAGTTCGGGCTTAGAGCAAAGAACTGGTTACCTCAAAGCTCCCAGCCCTGGCTTCCACCTTCTCTACGCTCTGCCATCGGGGCAGCCCGTCAGAAGCCCTCCGGAGAGACTGCAAAAGTGTCGTGGCCGCGTCTGATGACGCAGTCATTGGCTTCAGGGCGGGAAGGGCGACGGCACTGCCGGCAGCACCTGAAGCTGGTCCCAGGTGGACACCCGCACGCTCCGCGCGAGCGAGCTGCCTCCCGGAGCCAATCGGCAGCGGCGCGGGCGCCGGAAGTGAGACTGGCTCCGCCCCTCGCGGGCGCGTCCGAGGCGCTGTCGTCATCGCCCCGCGCCGGAAGACCCCGTCTCCGGGCGCGCTTTCACGGAAGCGGGGAGTCCCGGGCTATGAGTCGCAAGAGACAGCTCCTGGCATCTGAGGCCTTTGGAGTGAAGCGGCGGCGGGCGCCGGGGCCCGGGAGAGCGGATCCTCTGAGGGCGGGCTCAGGTAACCATGGCAACCCGGGCGCAGCGGGCCCGAGGGTCCCGGCCCTCGGAGGAGGACCCAGGGTAGGTAACCGTGGCGACCCGGCAGCGGGGCGGCGGGCCGGCCCTCGGCGTCCGACCTGACTCCGCGCTCC